AGTATTAAAGAAAAAGCTAAGAGGCGCTTCGCATAATGAAGTAGATCCTCTACCCTGCCTATGAATAATTCATTATATACAGCACCTTCTGGTCAACCTTCTACTCTTAATCCATCATCTCAAATAATTTCTGTAGGTGATGCAGAAGCAATACCTTTGATGTCACCAATAATAATATATTTCATACTTACTTTACTACTTATTGCAATTATATAGATCGTGGTTGGAAAAAAGCTATAGAATATATGAAAAAAGTGACCAATTTTTTACCTACGAAAATTATATAAATAGAGACTATGCAAAGCGCATCACTCTATGATCAGACCAGAAGAGATTGCCTTACAAACCCAAATTAAATATAAGAATTGAAGTTAGCCAGTATTATTGCACGAGAAAAAATATATAAATAATATTATAAGTACTTAGTTGAAATTGTCACACCTCTACTAGAATACTTAATAATATTATCTATTTAAGTACTTTGCTAACACCTCTGGCCCAGTTATGTCCTCAAGATGGAAATACCATAAATTACTAATGTCATCTAACGCCTCAATTTCTGATATGTGAGGTAAGGCAGGTAGGTTGACAATTATCTCATTTTTTCGCATGGATGAAACTGGGCTGATTTCTTTTAGAATTGATATATGCTCTTTATAATGCATATAATAGACTAATTTATGAAAGAATAAATTATACTCTTTAATACACTTTGTAAGCTCGCTAGAATATCAAGTAAAATCAGAGCATATTTTTTCCTTTATTTCGTCATCTACCGATAAGTTTTTATCTTTTGAAATTTTTCTATCGCATTTTATAAATTTCTTCCATAATACCTCAACAGGGTTACTTACCATGAAAATCTTATAGCTAAGCCATCTACCATGAAATATTTCATATGAACTATCTATCTTTTGATACAACAATTCTTGTGCTTCTTTGACTGCATTTCTATAGGCGCATTTATAAGCATTTTCGTGGGATATCATCATCTTGAAAGTATCACCATTTACTATAATATTCTCTTTAACAAATCTCTCAAGCTATGACTTAGCCTGTTTTTGAGCGTAATTATCAATCTGCATATATTTCTCATCTGGATCTTTGATTTGCATAATTCTGCTTGTAAGAGTGGACTCATATTTCTTTTTGTACATGATAAATCGAGTACAGAGACCAATAATAGTTTTTTCATAATAATGATATAAATCTAACTCCTTACCCAATTCCTTAGCTACGTTTACAAATTCCATTTTATCACCTTTAGTCGGGTTTAATTTCCTGTTATGTAAATCAAAATTCATGTCTGGATTAGTCACTACATAACTAAAGCATTCACCTAGCATTGGAATTCTACTCTCATATTTTTCCTCATTCGTCCTATAAATCGCTAGACACTTTGGTTATTCACATTAGGTTTCCATGCATCAGACTCTATAAACTGTTCAAAACCCATTACTTAGGATTAGTTATAGCATCCCTGAGAATGTCTTTAATGATATTATGAAGTGATCGGTCATTGTTAATATCTATAGCTCTTGATATAATCCTATCTCTTATGGTTCTGAAAACTTAGAATTTACCCTATTTCACAGTATCGATTCCTCTTATAAAAAGCTTTAGTTTAAAGTTTGAGGTATCTTCATGAAAGATGCCAAAATATTTTTTCTTTCCAGTGAACACTACTGAGAATAATACTTCTTCATAAGCCATCTTAAGATAATCTGATTTAGTTTTTAGTCTAAAAAAGGTATTTACTTTATTGCGTAATTTCTCTATTACGATTATAGTAATTTTGACCATTTTGGTCTAATATTCTAGTTTTGAGATTACGCTTTTCCCAGCATTATAAGTTAGATTGCATTTCTCATAATAGGAATCTGGACAAATGAGATATAGGAAATCAGTATCACCATATTTTATCCCAAAACCTTTCTTTTTCACGAATTCTGCAATGAGTTTTATATTTTCTTGTCCAGCTGAAATAACACTTCTGGCGAGTTTAAGTTTGTAGAACAGGGAGTCACTTTAACCTGTCACACCATAGAATGAATTTATATACAATTTAACAGTTTTCTGCTTTGAATTTAGAGAATCATATGTGAAACAGACAGAACTATATTCTTTCTTAAAAGTAGCGTATATTATATCAATAAAAGGATCTAAAATTTAAGCTATCTCAGTATGCTTTTTTGTATTTTCTGTCAAGAAAAGAACATCCTTAATTGTGCTTGCTATTAGAGTAGACTTGCTGGCTGAATCTAATTTACTTTTAACTAATCCCATATATTCCTTTTCTTTGCAAGAGATTTTAGCTGAATCTTTAGTTCATTCCGTATATTGAGTAAATTTTCCAATATTTTTGAAAATAAACCTTTCTGATCAGATTTATTCCCATGCCGTATGGTCTAAACTTACACAGGTTTACTGCCATACTTGAACTCAATACTGTGAAGCACTTTATTCTCTTTCTTTAGTTTATCTGCTTCTGAAAGTGTTGAGACCATCTTCTCAGGTAAGAGATTGTAGGTCATGATTATGCTAGGGTATAAGAAAGTAAAGTCTAAACCTGTGACAGGATGTTTATTTTCAAGACCTTTCTCCAGTGAGAACATATACGCTTCTGGAAACTTCTCAGATGCTTTTTGATTGAAAATTTTTATGGTGTATAGAATATTTTGCGTTCAAGCTTTAGTACCTAAGAGATTAGATACTTTTATTCCTATAGTATAATAATGTGAGTTGAATAATGATATATGAGCGATTGAAGCCATCTCTCTGTAATCATTTATAACATTAGATTTGACTATAAGTTTCTGACAATGTAAAGCATCTATAACACAATAATTTACAATTTCGTGCATATATTTTTTGGAAGAGTCAGAAGTCCCATCCTTTGCTTCCGAATAATACTTCTATAATTTGCTTATAGGCATATCAGCTTTGCTATTGAGACCACACTTTTCTAAGAAGAATTTGAGTGATATTTTTTCAGAGTGGGGTGGAGTTGCATAAAACTTGCACGAACGTCAATTAGTACACATCTAGGAGTTTAAGAAAGTAGAATTCAATACTTAAACTAGGATGAATTTTGATCTTAATGGATTCTTAACATCTTGTTTTTTTATGATCCTTATCTAATAAACTCCTATCTGTCTTTTTTACCCATTGTGAATTCCTCTGGAAGAAATTACTGCTAGATGCTTCTCCTTTCCCTCCAAAATAATTCTAAATAAGAATAGAATTAGCATTGGCTTTCTTACATAGTTTTGCTGACATTCGTTGAACTATCCATTCAAGAATCTTTAATTTGATGGCTTTTTCACAATAAAAGGCCAATCATATCCTGAATTATTAAAACTAAGCTGAATATCTGAGGCAAAAGATTTCTAACATAAAGCAAAAGCTATTAATAAATTGGCTTGATTCTTACATATAATTATTGTCTAGTGTGGGTCCAGAGCTGTCTTGACATCAACAAGACATATTTGTTCTAGTGGTTTTAAGTCGTCTTTCTAGTATAAGGTCATGCAGATCATAAAAACTTGTGATGTGTCATTTTTCACTTCTGGAAAGTTCTCTAATCCACGTAAATTGTATATTTCTATGTCTCATGTTAGAACTAATACTTGATCATGAATAAAGAGAGAAGATAAATAGATTTTATAAAGTGTTCAAAATTTTCTATAGGGCAAAATTATTAATGTGAACATAAAATGCATGTGGGCAGTGATAGGATCTCGCATAATAAGGTGCACTGTATTATATTTATAGTTGCTTATAGACCCCACCTGAAAAGTGATATCCTATATTCTCTCATAATTTTATGATAATATGTGCCTGTATCATTTGAAGCTGTCTCTATTTTTTATTTAAGACCAACCTTTGAATTGTAGCTTGAGATGATATCGAGAATAATAAACCTTTCATCTTTATTAAGTGTGATAATATAGAGATACAGCTTTTTTTCTGCATGAAAACCACGGATAAGAAATGCCTTTATACATTTTATCTGGATTAGATTCATGTTCACAGTGTTCCCACTACCATCTTTTTCAGTAGTAAGAATACCCTTTATTTTGGACCAGAATTTAGGATACTTGTATTATCAGAAACACAAATATCAAAATTACTTTAATACCGGTAATAGTTACGATTACTTTCTAGCCATTAATAAGGTACCTGTAAAGGTAGAAGACATAATAAGGGATATTATTAATATATTCTTTAGCTTCTTCTATATCGACTGGCATGAATAAAATATCTCGATGATTCGCTATTTCATCATTAAGAATTGTAGTCGAACCCTTATCATTTCTCGCAACTAATTTATTACGAGTTAGAATGCCTATCAAGTAATTCTTGCCAGAATAATGAAGTACCTGACCAAATTTTTCTTTTTCAGCCTTTGAGTAAAAAAGGGCAAGGACGTCAGAGAATTCTGAAAGCATGGATTATGATATTTTTGAAAGATTTATAATTATACCAAAACTCAAGGTATAATATTCGCAAGAAAAAAGTTTAAAATAAAATTAATTTCTGAGATTATTAATTAATATATATAAATGGGGCTGAAAGAAGAAAATACTAACTGGAGATTTTATTTCTATCCATACATTCTTAGGACTGGAAAAATGTGTAATTGGAGATGTTATCATCCAAATGGATGCAAAGTTCATAGGGATTATAGGTAAGTTCCTTGTAAATAATTCAGGAGTATTAAAAGGACTAGAGGTGAATATGGATTTGCGATCCACATGCAAAAAACTTAGAGCGAAAAAATACTACCATCAAAAAAGCTAACTGAGCTGGCTAAACTGAATATATGTGAATTTTGCGATTTATATGCAAAGAAACATAAAGCAAAAGAAGAGTACCATCAGAAAAAGCTAGTAGAGCTAACTAAGCTGATTGAAAGAAATAATATAGAGGTAAACAGCCCTAGTTAGATTAATGTTCCTATCAAAATTTTTGGAAACGCTATAGGAACACTCATAGAAATGCATTTGTGTAGCATCTTAGCAGTAGAAAGCATTTCAGATTAATTTTAGAAAGGGTGTTCCTATGTTCCTAACAGTTCCTATGAAAAATCGAACTTCTTTACTTTATTTTTTTTTATTATACACTATATACAGAGGGTAATCAAAATTATCTGACCAGTTTGTTTGACCAAAATTATGCCGATCATCACGTGTTAATATAATATAAACAATACATAATTTTGCACTTACCATTACAATAAACAAACCCTCACATTTCATTTTTTCTCGGAATTTTTCGGAAATATGAAGCCACTTACCCAAAAACTCGTAACGCAATCATTTATAGTCATAATTGTGAACAATCAAGTCGCACAATAGCTAAACAGTTGGATGTGAGAAAACAACTATTAATGATATTCTTAAACGCCTTCATGAAACATATTCTTTAACTCTAAAAAAAACAAACTGGCCATCCACTACTTCTTAATTCACCAGCCCAACAAGAATTTAAAGCCTTTGTTCAAGAAAATAGTGAAAATCGTCGACTTAGTTCAAAAAAGCTTGTAACAGTTTGGACAGCTCATACAAAACAGTCTATTTCTGCTATTACTATGTGCCAGAATCTTAAGAAAGTTGGGCTTACATCTTGTATACCTCGTAAAAAACCCACAATGACAGAAGTACATTGTCAGGCTCATCTCTAATGGGCTCATGCACACAAAAATTGGGAAGAAAAAAATGGAAAAGAGTATTTTTTTCAAATGAAAGTACTTTTATACAATTTCAACAAGATCGTCAAAGAAAGATATAGCGTGAATCTGGAGAAAATTAAACCCAGACTGTATTGCAGTTACTGTAAAATATAGTCCTAGTAGAATGTTTTGGAGTGCTTTTCTTGGCATGGGCTTGGACCAATTGTTCTATTAAAAGGCTCAGTTACTGGTCAAACACATACTAAGGTTATTAATAAATATGTTATACCTACCTTGAATAAGTATTTTCCACAAGGTAATGGAATTTTTCAGGAGGATAATGCTTCACCATATTGTTCAAAAGTTGCTGTTTCTGCCCGCAAAAATGCTAAAATTGTGAAAATGGATTGGCCTGCACAAAGTCCTGATCTGAACCTAATCGAGAATCTCTGAATAGAAATGAAAGTAATAATTCATCGTCATACTCCACTACCATCTAACATCCAAGAACTTGAAAAGTATGTTAAAAATGTGTAAAAGGATCTTCTGCCAGAATATTACAAAAAATTGATCAAAAGTATGCCTCAGAAAATTGAGGCGGTTATTACCGCAAATAGAAATTGTATTAATTATTAATAATTTAATTTTTTCATGTAAAAATTAATAAACAAAGATAAGATAAATATATTTATCTTAAATTTTAATTTTTAATATATAATACATATAAAGTTTTTATGATTTAAATAGTGGCTGAATAATTTTGATCGCCCTCTGTATACACCATATATACACTATATGTACACCATACATATACCATACGTATAGCATAGAAAAAAATTGAAATTTTTTCTAGAAGTTTTATTTTTCATAGGAACAGATAGGAATATAGGAACAGATATTAAATAAAGCAATCAATTAACTCAAGAAAATGAAAGCGATATACAAATATATTTCTATGAGTGTTCCTATAAAATTTTTTTAGCTAAGTTGATAGGAACAAAAAATCTGTCATATTTTATACCTTAATATGCCTGAAAACATATCAGAAACATGCCAGAAATACAATATAAATGTACTCTAATAATTTAAACTTTGGGACGCAAAATTAGCATAATTATACTGGCAATAAATAGGCAATAGTTAGGTTGCGAAATAGTGCACTTCTAGTAATTAAAAAGTTTAGGCTAAGATAATACATATTGCATCTCTAACTTCAGGATGTGAAATCGGCATATATATACTAGTAACTAATAGGTAATAGTTAGATTGCAAAATAGTGCACTTCTAGCAATCAAATAGGCTAGCCATAGAAATGTATATCGTATCTAACTAACAGAATTTGCTATATTATATGACAGAGGTGTTCGGTATTATAACAAGATCACATGACTAATGCAGTAGGATGCAGTATAAATTCAGCCAATATTATTCCACAATTTCAGCCAGATCTTTGAGCATAATAACTTGGCATCCAAGCTGACCTGAAACTGGTGTACTAATAGAAATACTCTGATTCCCTACCAGTTCTATAATAGTTCTAGAACACTATCAAGACACTATCATAGTGTCAAGTTAGATCTTCAAATCACATGCCTAAAAGATTAGCCAAAATTAATTGCAAATATATTATGCCACCTGACACGATATTTTTTTACTATATTTTAGGATCTAGAAAGACAACCAAAGGGAAAATACTTCAACATAGATTCTAGCACCTAATCAGATGCAAGAGGTTAGCATCTTTAACATAAAACTAAATATTCAAATAGCTACAGAAAGCCAGTACTAATAATATAAAATTTATCATGTAAACAGATTAAAAACAAGAAGAAAGTAGTTACTATTGGATTGTGATATCACAATTAAAGTATTACTATCTACTATTAGACTATGAAGTTATCACCATATTATATATGAAACAGTTAAAATAATGCTATAAACGTAAAGGAGATACCCGTATATAGGTTATAAAGGCGCTATCAAAATATAAATAGTTTGTTATGAAGTTATCATCAAATCATGTAATTAAATTATGATATTACTATTATATTACGAAGATACTGACAGAGTATGAAGCTACCATTATATTATGAAGATATTAACAGACTATGAAGTTACCATTATATTATAAAGATACCAGCAGACTATGAAGTTACCATTATATTATGAAGATATCAGCAGTCTATGAAGTTATCTTCATAACCTAATATAAGTTGCATGTGACTGTATTATATATAATAATTATTAAAATATATCAAATAATAAATTATTTATTTTATTATTTCAATATTATTTAATCATTTTTCAAATATTATAAATATTAGTAAATTTTTATATTTTATTTTTTTTTAATGTAAATGCAAATGTGATTTTTTAAGCAAAATTTAATTAAATTAAATTATATAATTCTTGAAATGATAATACATTAGATATATTAATAATAATTGAATTAAAAAAAAATATATGTAAAAGAATTTTATTTAGTAATGTATTTTACTATTTGGTTAAAAAAAGAAATTTATATTATTTTAATCAAATTTATTAATATAATTATATTTTGACATGAATTGATGAATTACTAATTAAATTGTATTTTGATAAATATAATTATTTTATTAATAATTTATAATAAATATTGAATTAATATAATTAATTTGACATTATCAAATTAATTGATGTTAAAGTATAAATATAACAATAATTTTTTAAAAAAAATAAAATTCTTTTGAATCTATAATAAAATTAAATTTTTTTATTATTTTTATAACAAAATTTAAAATAAATAGTATATTTAGAATTCTTTTTTCTTTTTTTTCACTGCAAACTATTAGGAATATTGTCAGCCAAAAAAGGAAATTCATTTTAAAAAGAAATTTTAACATTTTTATAATAAATAAATTATAAAAATTAATTTTTTATATAAACTTATTACTATATTGTAAAATAAATTTTTAAAAAAATATATCACTTCTGCAATAATACAATTTTAAAAATAAAATTTTTTTTGAAAAAAATTCAATATTTTTTTAATTCTTTTAAAAAAAATTTATAATAATAATTTAATGTTATAGTATCAAAAATAATATTTTTATTATAAATAATAATTTGATTAACAAATTATAACAATATTTTAAAATATATTTAGATTTAATATCTTACCTTTTATAAATAAAATTTTATCTAATATTGCTAACAAATTATTTACTTTTATATAATTTATTATTCTTTGTCATATTCTCTGTTTTTCTATTTTTACTATAAATTTTAAGAATTTAAATTTCTTTAATATAAAAAATCATATTTTGCCATTTTATTTAGTATATGGATAATTTTGTTTAAATTCGGTAATAACAATCAAAAAATTACATAAGTATTAATAATATTAGGATAGGTATTTTGATATAAAATAGTAGTTATATTATAAACATTTAGAAAATTTCATAGTTTTAAAAATAAAAGAAATAAAGAATATTATCTTAAAAAATACTTGTATGAAAAGTTATCTAGAATATTTTTAATAATTTTTATTTTATTTTATAAATTATTATTTTAATTAGTGAAATTATTATTATTTTCTTCAAAATTTAAATCAGGTATATTTCTTGGTCAAAAGTATTGAACTACTTTAAAATTATTGCAATTTTTAAATTTTTAATTTTTTAATTATGAAAAATTTTAATAAGTAATTTTACACAAAAAATTTTTTATTTTATTCATAAAAACAAATTTTTTATAAAAAAATTAATATTTAGTTGTATAATCATTACTATCTATTACAGCTTAAACCCTTCTCAACACATTTATACTAAATTTTCTAAAATGTCAGTTTTAATTTCATTCTATTTTTCATTTAAAACAACTAAAGATAATCACCGCAATTAAAAAAAATGGCGCAATTGAGTTGCAACTTATGGCGCAATTAAATTTCCTTATGGTGCAATTAAGTTGCAACTCAATTGAAATTTAAAAATAATTATGGGGACCATCTTTAACTATAGCTAAATTAGATAATTAAATGATCTACATGTCTTATTTCTTAAATTTGATAGTTTAATTTTATTATACAAATAGATCTTATTACGTTATTCATTATTAATGATATTTATTTCATTTTTTTTATTTTATTCATTTATTTTATTTTATTTATGTTATTTTATTTATTTTGTTTATTTTATTTATTTTATTATTATTAATAAATATTTTTATATAAATAAGAGTAGTTCATCAATATAAAGTAGAATAGTAGTCTTGTCTTATAATAATTCTTTTGATAAATAAATTATTTAGTATAGATGTGCTAACAGAAGTAGTACTGGTCTTTTATTTGTTAAATAATTAATTGCACACATTTTACCCAATTTATCTCATTTATTTTTATTTCTTTTATCTCATATCTCTATTTTTACTCTCTTGTGTAAAAGAAACCTTCTGCTAAATCTTGATATTACAAGTGATTTACTTGCGATCTAAAAGAATTAGTGTAATAATAGCTTAAAAATAGATGTTATTAAATATCAGAAAAGTTTTTAGAAAAATGAAAATGTAAGTAATATCTTTATAAAATTTATATTTTATTGTTAAATATTTTTTATTATTTTTTCATAATTAAATTTCAATAATAAATGCTAATATTTGATGAAGAAAATCTTGAAATTCAAAACAATCTAGAATTATAAAATAATCAATATTTACATATTTTGATAACTTATGATAAAATAATTTTTTATTCAAATTATAGAAGTCAATCTGATTAAACTTCTAATGAAAATTACCTTTATGTAATAAAGTAAAAGATAAGTTATTTATATTAGTGATTTTTTATATGAAATAATTGGTCAATAATAATTAAATAAAGAATAAAAATCTAATACTATAAATGAAATTTTACATGAAATACAAGTAATAATGCATCTTAAAATAAATAATAACAATTAATAGAATGCTAATTTATTTGCTAAACAGATATTCTTTTTAATTTAAATAAAAAATTTTAATTATTATAAATATTAAAA